CAAATCCAACGAGTAAGTTGGTATACATCTTCCCGCGGAAATCAGTTGGGAAGTTACGAAGAAGTAAGAAATCGGGAATGATGTCTCTTTCTTTGTCTTGTGTTGAAAAAGGAAAAGGATTTTCTGAGGCTTTAATATGAACATGTGCAGTATTATTAACAATTTTTAATGTTATGTTCTTCCATTCAGTTTGTTCGACTTTGACTTCTTCACCAGATGTTAATAAAGTATGTCGACCAAATACTTCATACCAATTGGTGTTGAAATCAATGCACAACAAAATTTTCATATGTGTTGTTTAGTTTTTTGAGGTTTACTATTATTCATGTTAAAAACACTTCGAAAACAACAACATACAGTGGTGTTGGATCTGTGAAGTTTTTATTGATATTAATAATTTTCTATAATAATAATAATAATAATAATTATTATTATTATTTCAAGTAGTTATACCATTAATTATAGTTTATTGAATTATTGATTTTAATAAATAGATACTACAATTTACTAATAAAAATAAATTAAGATATAATATTATTATAATATATTATTGTATATTATATATCTATTTTTTTAGAATATATTGAATAAAATGAAAAAAATAATTATATAAATGATAATAATATGATTTTTAATATAAATATAATAGATAAAACATAATATATATAATAATAAAAGTAGTATATAAATCGTGCCGATTTCGTGCACCCTTCGGGAATCCTCAATCTTCACGATTTCGTCGCTTCGCTCCGTTATTTAGGTTCAATTATTTTAGGGTTATTATTTTAAAGTGATAATTTAATTTTTTTAAAGTCTAAAATGACAACTACTATGGAACGTATTATTAAAGCTATTAAAAAGAAATGTGTTCATATTACAGAGTTAAATAATCACGAAGTTGATTTATTCTATAGAGTTGAATCTAAGGAATTATTTCAAATTAAAAACAACACTCTCAATAGGAGGTTTAAACTACTGTTTGCGAACCACCTCTTTGCTACGAGACCAAAGGTCTCTCAGCTTTGCGTACAGAATTAAAGGTTCCTCAGCCTTCGGCGTACTTTACTAACAAAAACCCAAATATGGGTTTCTTTTTGTCGTCTTAGATTTTACAATTATTTTTAAAATAGATGTAGCCAAAATGGTAGCAATTTGGTAGTATAAATTTTAAATTTTTTCTATATTAGAAAAGCAGGCTGCTGACACAACACAAGACTTAAAACAAGAAAATTCTAATGTTCTAATTAAAAAATAAATTTTTTAACAAGACTAGAGACGATGTTACATTTAATTATAAAACTATTGGTAATAATAAAGTTAAAACAGAAACTATTCTCTATAATTTAAATAAAATTGTTAACGATTCTGACATTAGTAATGCGGATTATACAGAAGAAGGAATACGTACAGATAAAGAATTAGAACCATTAAATACATTATTTTCGGATAATATTGTGGTATATTCTCCAATTCCAGATAAATTAATTAAAGATGTAGAAAATCTTAGTAAAACATTTATTTCCTCCGATACTATAGATAACGAAGAGGAAGAACAAGAATCTAAATCTGTTCCAAAAGAACTTAGGGATATTTCGAAAAATATTTTGGCCGTTATTACAGCTAATATTAAAATGGTATTTAACAGTGTTGGTATAAATATAAATAAAGCAGATATTAAACCTTTATGTATAAAGAGATCCGAAGATATGTTACACCAACCATCTATATTTATACAAATCCTTAAAATTAACTTAAGTTGTGCTAGTGTCCAAGATGTGTTTAATATGTTAACAGATAAAGACAAATTAAAATTCTTAAACGATAACAATGTATTTATACACGATATAGATTTTACGCAAGATTATAAAGGAGTATTCAATAAAAACAATGTTATAGAACATTTTTTAAGTGTTGGATTTAGAGAACAAGGAGACGACACATCTCCGGATAATTACACCGCCACAATATTAAATAATAGTAATACTGTTTCAAAAATTGTTTAACATTTATTAGAACAACAGATATCGCAGACTCTGGATCCAAAGGATCTAATGGAACTATTTGATATAAGTTTTACAATAAGTTTGTACAATCTATGGAATCTCCAAATGTTAGAAATAAAATTGGGTCCCATATAAACGATTGGATTAATAATCCAGAACCAATATTAAATAAAGCTATTAATTCTTCTTTAGATACAGGATTATTAAGGTTGGAGATGACATTCTATAGATACAATACAGATAAGGAGTTAAATAGAGAATTTATAGAAGAACAAATGGAATTCTTAAGAAAACAAATGGATCCTTCTCTTATTTATTATAATTCTATAGAAACGCAATTTAACCTATTATGTAAACATATTCTTTATAATATTTGTATATTAGATGTAGAAACAAAGTTAGCATTCGTTTCTCTTTACCAAAATAGACTTACTGGAAAAGTTAATGGATTTTATTTTAAAGATTGTAATAATGTTAAATTATATAATGCGTTAAGATATTATTGTAGTAATAAACCTATAATTGTAATATTAGTTAATATAGATAAAGATAATAAAGAAGTTAGTATACAACAAGATGGTTATATTAGAGTAACAACAAATAATAAAGATTTAGAAACATATGTTACATCTGGTTCCGATAAATTACATACAGCTACTTATAAAGACGATGCTTTTAGTAAACAACCAGAAGAAGTTGGATTAACTCCAAATAAGACATTTAATTTTAAATTGTCTAAGAAAACCATATCTCTAATTAAAACAACAAAGTATACCACAGTGTTTAAAGAATTTAATATGGAATTACTTAATTACCCAGACGATAACTTAACTATAAGAACAATTAGTAAAGAAATTAAAAAACAAGAATTAATTAAAGCTTTTAATATTGTTAATAAAGATAAAATAGTAGAATTACAAGCTAAAAATAAAGAAATAGAAGAATAGATAGAACAAAGTAAATATATGGAAATGTGTAGAAACAGATAATATGGAATTCTTAAAAATTGTAAAGCATATAGTAAGAAGTTTATAGAATTAGAAAATAACACAACATCATATGTTTATGGATTTAAAGAAACAAAATCTAGATTTGGAGATACTCTTTTATTGGCTTGTTCTAAAGATTCCATAATAACAGAAGAAACAGAATTATATTTTTATTGGTCTACTACTAATTTAACAACATATTTAAATAGAGGCCAAAATTATTATAAGAAATTAGATATATATGGAATTATAGCAAGAGGTTCTATTAGTGGTAACCCAATATTAACAATATGTAAAACTGGTACATTTACATCTGCTTCAAAAAATAAATGTGCAAAAGTAGAAATAGTCGAAGCTAAAACCAATAAAACAGAACAAATACAATAAACACCAAATAGTTTAATATTAAAAGAATTACCTTATTTAACATTAAAAGATTTTAAAAAATTAGACGACTAAGTTAACGAAGGATATAATAGTAATATAGTTGGATATAAATTATTAAAGAATAGTGGAATTATTAAAGCAAAAATATCAACTAAAAGTGGAATTACTAAAGAAGATAATTATTCTATATCTTATTGGTTAAAATTAATTGTAGAAGATAAATTTAAAAATAAAATTGCTTTTAATGTTATCTCTGGTCCTTTTAAAACCACACCATCTAAACATAAAGCTAGATTATATAAATAAAACACTTGTTAATAACATTTCTATAAATTCTTTATTAAGATAATTGTAATAAATGGTAATTATAAACTGGTTTTCAAAAGTCGGTACTGAGGTGTCCCGATTTTTTGCATTTATTTTGTTTATTATTTTTGGGAATCGTTTTTTGTAATAAATTCGCTTATTTTTTCCAAGAAAAAAGAGAAAAACGGTCTTTAAAAAATATTTTTTTACTTGAAAAATTTTAAGCATTAAAAAATTCCATATAAAATTTGAAATAATGGGATTTTTGTTTCATAAAAACACACGAATTATCCCAAAAGTGCATTTTAGTACAAAAGCAAATAAACTTAATGTCAATTTTTTTCATTATCAAACATTTTAATAATTAATAAAATATTCACAAAACAAGCTTAGTTCGAAGATTAGTATGCTTAGTAGTGTTGTCACAAAAACAATAAAAATAACAAAATGATTTGATAACTTATTTTTGTTGGGTTTTATAAAGTAGACATTCTTTTTGAGCATTTCAGTGAGAAAATCATTTTTAAAATAACCAATAACAAAACAATATTGTTATTTTGTATTATTTTTCTAGTGTTGCCCTTTGACAATTTTGACTTATGCCTGTCAAAATTATCAAACATTTGCTGTAATTTTTTGAACTCTTTTTTTTCATTATTTTTTATTCAGAGAAGATAACCACAGTTTGTTTTTAATTGAAAATATTTTTTAACGAAAGTAATTATCAGTTAAAACTCGACACAAACAACACCATCACAATTCACTTAAACGTTGATTGTTGTGCTTTTAGGTCAACAATGCTGTGTATATATTGCGAAGTTTCGAGTTATGGTCAAATCAAATAACGGGATCGGGTTTTTTGGAAAAAGATGGCTAATATTCCGATATTTTCCCGAATTTGTACGAAAATAATTGAACGGGATTGGTATTTTTTCAAAATAAAGTCGGTACTTTCGATTTTTTGTTTTTTTGTTTTTTATTTTTTTTAGGAAAAAACAACAATAAAAAACGGGACTTTAGGAAGTTCTAAAAATATGACAGTACCGACTTTTGAAAAACAGTTTATTTTTGTAAAAACATTGTTGGAAAAGTATAAGAATATTTTCCTTCTTTCGTGGAAAAATTATATGTTTTGTTTCTTAATGTTTTAATTGTAATTTTATCTTCTATGTTTTCGATTTCTAAACTATTATAAAAAACTTTAACCATTTTAAGGAAATAAAAATTTACAGTCAAAGGTGTCTATTTGTCGTAATTATAATTGTCGAAGTTGCTTAATTGTCGCGCAACTGGCCAATCATTTTGGTGTACGACAATTAAATATTTTGTTCTCGAATCTGTAACTTTTGTTAAATTAAAAACTAAATTTTTTATAAAAAATAAATTTCAATATTAAATAGAATTTTCTACAAAATTCACTCATTTACGACAAATAGATATTTTTTTCTGCTGGATTTACGACAAATAGACGCCTTTGACTGTAAATAAAATAATCCCAAACAATATGGTATAATATAAGATATAGATTAACATGTATTAACATAATTTACCCACATAATACACATAAATGGTATACATAATTCCCAATAAGGTATTTTTAGTATTTTTATATTTATAAAATAGACCTTATAAACAATTTTTTATCTAAAAGTAAATCTACGTCTCCGATGGAGACAAAAAATATATCTGCGTCTTCGATGCCACTACGTGTTACACATCCTACGGACCTACGGTTCTCAGATCCGAAGGATCGTAAGGATAACTTCGTCGCGGAACTTCGGTCTAACGATAGTATAAAGACAGTTACCGAAGATAAAGAAAACAAAACAGATTATATACAAATTATTAAAAATATAACAAAGAATTATAATTTAGAAAAAATAGAAGATTTAAAACAATGTATTAAAGAAATACACAGATATATCTAAAATAATCCAGATGTAAATAATTTAGATACAAAAGATTTAAATGCAAATATTTATATTAAAGGATATGTATTTTGTAAAAATAAAGGAAAACAAGAATTAATTAAGAAAAGAGTTAGAATTGGAGAAAAGAGATTAAACGAAAAAAATGGATAAAAATACAGAAGAAATACGAAACTATGTTTCTAAAGAGCAAAATTCTATAAATTTAAAAATAGAAGAAATAGAAAATAGAATAAATACACTTATAGTCGGGTGATAAAGGGGGTTAATTTAAGACAGAAATAGTTAATTTGAGTAAAAAACTATAAAATATATTTTATTTAACCATAAAAGTATTAGAAGGGTTTTTCAATTAACTACTTTGAAAATAATAAAAGAAAACCATAACTTTCTATTTTTGATATTATTCAATCTTTGAAAACAATGGAAGAAGAAGAGAAAGGAACCCTTGATGAAACAACAACAGGCAATCAACATAAAAAAGCAATTCAAATACTAGAAACCAGTTTAAAAACTGTATTTCAATATATATTCACGATGTATATGGTTAAAATGCCAGAGTTTAATGAATTAACAACAGTGTCAATTTTTGAAAGTGTCAGGGAATCACTGAAAAATCATCATTTGTTATTTCAATCTTTCAATCTTTCGTTGTTGAACCATTCCCATTGAGAAAAGATAAGAGAAAGACCATTTTAACATTAAAACAATTGGAGTTGAAGAAGAGCAGAAAAGAAATGAAACAAAGGAAAAAACAAAGGAAAAATTCTTTAACAAAACAAGTTTCAGACAAACCATAAAAAGTGCTGCGTTTTAGACTTCCACATTTTTCTAAGTGGACAAATTGAGGTGTTTTTGTTTATTTTTGAAATAGAAGTTTATAAATATTCAATTTATAATCATTTAAAATTAAAAAACGATAATTTATATTATTATTTTAATTTTATGTTTATTTTGACCTTTAAATAGATTTTTTAAAAATTATAGTTTCGAAATTATATTTTTCAAAATTAACTACCTTTGTCCCTTTTTAATGCTATTTATCCCCCGACTATAACGATAAATTGGATGTAATAATAAAGAATGTAAATAGGATATACAACAATTGTAAAAATACAATAGCAGATATGTTAATACCCGTTATGCGATATTATTTATCTAAAATAAATTAGATTTGATTATGTATTAAATTTAGTTAAAGAATCGGATTCGAAATAAAGATAATATTTTTATTAAAATCTAAGACGACAAAAAGAAACCCATATTTGGGTTTTTGTTTGTAAAGTACGCCGGAGGCTGAGGAACCTTTAATTCTGTACACAAAGCTGAGGAACCTTTGGTCTCGTAGCAAAGAGGTAGTTTCCAAACAGTAGTTTAAACCTCCTATTGAATCATCTTGTTTTAAAATATAATACATAACTTCTTTAACTAGCTCGTTATAATCGCCGAAATAATATTTTTTAATTTGTTTTTCATCATATCTAAATTATCAGATAAGGTAGAAATTTTTATGCTTACATGTGTTGTGCTCATTTTAGGGAAAATAAAAAAATAAAATAATTTAAAAATAAACTCGGTACTATATTTCCGAATTTTGGGAAAATTTGAAAACACGTCCCTCGCGATTTAATTAAAGTATTATAAAATATAGATAAAATGGGGTGCCCCCTAAATCTGCATAATTTATATACTACTATAATGATAATAATTAAAAGTATAATATTTAGTAACACATTTTAATCAAATAAAAAAATAACTATATATTGTAATATTTTTTAATATATTTATTAGTTCAAGACTTCTATAGAATACTTACACACGAATTGTTTATTTAATGTTATTTGAAGGTAAGGAGAACACAATTTTCAGCAACGAAAACGTCAGACTGATTTTTGTAGTAAGTCTTTACCTCAGGAGATTCCTTTCCAAAGATGAAATATGGATCAACAGTTAATCCTCCCCACATACGACTGACAATAACATCTCCGACACTCACGACGTTGGTGTTACCGATACTTTCTTTAATAAAATTGTACATATAAATTCCATCTGTTGGGATGAAGACATTATTTTCTATTTTAAAGACAGTGTTTGAGATGTGTTTCTTTTTATTAGTATCGAAAAAGAATCCAAAAGCTCTCGATTTGTTTTTAAAGAAAACACATCCACGTGGCACTTTTTGCACAGCCAATTCTAAAGCAGTTCCATTCAAATTATCATTAGTGAAATGGCTTCTTTGAGAATGGATCAAGTATCCGCTGTGTTTCTCTATTGCTTTGATTTCGTCTTGTGTTACATCATCTTCAGAGCTTTGGAATCGAGTGTTTAAAGTATTAGGACTTTTATAGTCTTCTTCGATAATCTTTTTTCTTTGAGACACGACTAAAAGTCTTTGTTCGTTGAACTTCATCTCCGTTTCGACTTCTTCTTGTAATTGTTTCGTTTGTTTGACAAGTTCGCCAAACACATTTAAATAGTTTGCAAGCTGCTGTAACGTCCTTGATGTCATAGAAAGTCTTTCATCTTCCAAAATTAATGAATTGACTTGTTCATTGGAGTTCAAAGAAGTAGTAGTGTTAAATACATGTAGTGTGAAATCAATGTTTTGTAATTGTTTTATCTTTTGTTGAATACTCTGCACATTGTTTATTAAAGTAGAAAATAATTCTTTATTAAATATAGAAGTAAATGGATCTGGACAAGAGTCCTTTATTATAAGATAGAGTTGGGTTTTGTTACTTATATTGTACTCCAATAACATACGATTATTATCAAGGATTTTTGAATTATATACCAATGTTTGCTGTCTAACTGAAACATGGAAAACACTTTCAAGTTCAATTTTAATCGAAATTACCGTGTCTTCGAGCGGTTCAATGGTATAAAATTTATTTGTCTTTGTGTTCTTTACATAGACAATCATTGTGTGTTTTTTATACATTTTTTTTTCGAAATTTTATGCGTCATTCCTAAAAGTGTGTGGAAATGTTCTATATTAAAATAAAATATCATTCGTTTTATTTTTAAATAATAATAATAATATTATTATTATTATAATATTATAAAAATTATTCATTTTTTTTTACTTTTGATAATTGAAATTCTTTTTTGTAACCAAATTATTAATTAATTTGAAATTTGAAATTATTAAAAATAAACTATAAATGTAGTTTATTTTACCTGTTAGTTTATTAATATATAATTTTTGAATATTTTTGATTAATTTTATTATATATTAAAGTATTATAATTATATTAAAATAAACTATTTAAAGAAACATTAAAATTTGTTTTAACAATTAAAGGAACAATCAACTAAATATGAATGGTTTAAAAATTCGGAAATTTTCGTTTATAAAATTTTATTTCTATTTTTTGAAAAATTTATAAAGTATTTGATTAAATAATTAATTAAATTTAAATAAATTAATTAAACACAAAACTGAAAAAACATCTTAAAATGAATAAATATTTTATTAAAAACATTTTATTTAAACAAGTAAATTAAAAAATTAATAAAAACTAATTCGTTATTTAAAAATATTTGTTAATTTAATGAAAAATCATTCAAAAAAAAAATAAATTAATAAATTATTTAATTAAACTCTTTAATAAAAAAGAATATAAAAAACTAGTATTTGCTAATTAAAATTATTTATTATATAATATTAATTATTATAACTATTCTATTAATTTATTAACATTAAGAAAAAAACTAATAAGGCAAATGCGACTGCATCCAGTTGGGATGTGTGTAGTCCCCCTTTTATTTTTAGCCGTCTTTGTAAATGTTTTGATTATATTTCGATACGACCCAACGCTCTTTTCTTATACAGAAATGCCCTTTCCCACGTCTCCAAATAGAAACCCGAACTTCACACAACCGACATATGTTGGCGCAGGTATCGACACTCGTCTCTTCAATTATGAGGGCGTCTGCCAACAAGTATTTACAAACGAACCAAACAATCCACGAGACTTGTGGCTTTCTGCAATTGAATTTACAAAGCCGGGGTATTGGCAATTCATCAAAGAGTCGGTCTACTTCACTTTGGGCCTCCTCAATTCGTCATGCCCACGTACTACAAAAGTCCTCTTGTTAATGTCTTCCCCACCAGACGACACTTTTGTGAGCGAAATGCAATCGTTTGGGCTTCAAGTTGTTCGCATCGACGTGCAGTTTGATGTACCGACGGATGCGGTTTCTCGTCGTTTTTTTGTATACAAAAAGTATTTGTCTGAATTAGTTGAGGACACGCGCGTAGCAGGAAATCGCGTGGAGCGCTACAAAAATTACAACAAAATTCTTCTTTGTGATTTTCGGGACGTCTACATCTTCGCTGATGTCTACGCGACGTTCTCTGCACATGAAGTGATTTTTGTTATTGAGTGTCACACTGAGCGATCGGGGTGTATTGGCTTTGATGAGTATCACAACACAAAATGGATGAATAGTGCGTATGGTCCCAATGTCACTCGAACGTTTGTTAGAAACAATTATATAGTGAGTAATGGAGGAATGATGATGGGTGGGTCTTCTAAGATCTATCGTTATATCAATATCATGACAAACGAATTAAAACCTGAAAAGATGCGACTTTGGGGATATGATCAATCGGTCCATAACTACCTCCTTTACACCGGCAAATTCGACGAATTGAATATCACAAAAGAATACTGCACACAACGAACGTGTTTCAGCGAAAGAGTCTCACTTGTCGTCGATTTCAAGAGAAAGATCCTTTATACAAGAGAGACGGGGTGCGCTCCTGTTCTGAGACACAAAGTCTGGAACACTAAATTGTTTTATTCGGAACATTGAATAAATAATAGAATAGGTATTTTCAAAAACATTTGCATGGTATTGATAGGTATAAAATTAGTAAAATTTGTCAAAAAAAGATAAAAAAAGGTATAAAAAATCATGTCAATAATGTAACAAATTGTCATTCACAATTACATCCAAAACTCTAAGTTTCTTTTTGTTGTGAATTTGTCCCATCCAACGTGTTTCGCCGTTTGAAACATCGGCGTCGACATATTCAAAAAGTCGTCCATATAACAATTATAAGCGTCAACGCACACGCCCCACTTCACATATTTATAAAATTTCTCCATTCTTTTAAACTCTCTATCTCCAAGTAAAATACCAAAGAATCCCGCAACACAAAATCCAAGTTGTTTGTTATGGACTTTGATATGATTAAATCTGTCTTGACATATCATAGTCCGTGTAGCTACTTGATTACCGTCTTGATATGTATCTAATACATTCTTAAGAGTGACGAAAAAATCTTTTTTGATAAGAATGTCGTCTTCTAAAAATAAAGTGTAGTCTGCTTTGGAATGTTGTTTGGCATACCTCGCTAGACCATAAGCATAATGATTGATTATATTATCTTTGGCATACCAGGAATACCTGGTGTTTGTTCTGTGATTTACGTCGTCTTTCCTAAAATCAATTATCCAACTCTCAAACTTCTCTTGAAAGGGTTTCATTTTGACGTCCAAAGTTTTGTTGATTGGAATCATATCAAAAGCGACATCATACACTTTAAAATCAAAATTAGAAAGTCTGTTGAGCTCATAATCTAACTCGGGAAATGCACAATTTTCACATCCACGAGTGACGTAAAAGTCAATTGAAATTCCGACGTGGTTATAGTTGTATGCATGCAAAAAGTAATCAACTGTTTGATGAATATAATTATATTTCTTTGGAGACGCACATAATGTAAAAGCGACGTGATGCTCTTTGGAATTCAATTGTACTATCAAAAGAAAAAATACTAAGAAAAGTGTGTAGTGCATACTAAATTAAAGTTCGTATTTTATTAAGTTTTATTATTTATTATATAGTTTATATTATAAATAATGAAGCCCCTTCTATTAAATAATGATATTATAATACTTGTAAACTAAATATTCATATAAAAATTATTAGTTCTTATTATTAAAGGTTATAAACAGTTTTTTTGTTTAAGTCAATATAAATTAATAAACTATTTTCTTGATACCATTTATAATATGGTTATTTTACTTATTGTTAATAATTGTTATCAGTATAACATTTATAGATATATTTTAATTAATGAAAACCATTTTCATAATTTAAATAAAAAGCATTTTTTTCGTTTTGTAAAAGATTATTTTTCTGTATTATAATTAAGATAAATTATTATATATTTATTTTAGTTATCAATAAAGCAAAGTTTAACATGTTGTAAAATGACCAATTTGAAAAATAATTTTCTTTTTTTTACTACTTTATTATAAATAAGTATAAATAAAAATATAAATGAATATCAATAACGTTGTTCCATATGACCCAAACAATTTAACATACAGTCAAAGTTTGTTTAACATAAGAAACTGTTGTTATTTTTTGAATAAAAAACGGATAATGAAATGACTTATTTAACATAATCAACTTGTTATTTAAATAGAATGACTTTTGTATATTTATGTATAATAATATTAAATAGTAAAAAACTAAAATAAATAAAATCCTTAATAATAGATCAAACTATAAATTTCATTCAAATTAAATTCTTTTTTGTTTTTAAAATATTTAAACTTTTTTAAATTGTAAATATAAGCGTTTAAATTTGTAATGGAGGATGATTGTTGTGTCTTTGATGTGGGAACCACTGAATGTCGTGCTGGTTTTGCTGGTTTTGATACACCTAAATTGGTATTTCCAACTAAAGTGGTATATTTAAATGAAATAGAAATGGTACTTAATTATGGTAATCGTCTTTATGCTGGTTCAAAGCTAAAGTTTTACGAACGTAAATTTACTACAATGAGTCCAATATCCAACGGTAAAATTACCGATTATGCACAATTGGAAGCTATTTACAATGCAGCGTATAATGAAATTGGTGCATCAAAAAAAGACCATGATGTGTTAATCATTGAGAACCCAAACGATGAAACCGTTTTTAAACACAAAGAAAAACTTTTTCAAATGTTTTTTGAAAATTTTGAAGTACCCTCGATAGCAATAATGAACAGTGCATTGATGAGTCTTTATAGTACTAGAAGAACTGATGGAATGAGTGTTATTAGTGGAGAGGATGCGACTTACTTTGTTCCCATATCAAATGTAGGTTCAAACTTGAATTCGATACAAAAGATTAACATTGGAGGACGAAGAGTATCTGAATATCTTAAAGAAAAACTAGGTACGAATTGTCAAATAGAACAGAACACAAATTATTTAAAATACATTAAAGAAAATTGTTGTGATGTTTGCTTGAATATATCCAACATGTTAAATTTATCAACCAACAATGAAAATGACGCCTTCGAGTATTATGTCTTGCCTGATGGAAATGCTTTGAAACTGGGCGACGAAAGGTTTACATCATCAGAATGTTTATTTAATCCAAACTTAATCCATTCAGATAATATTGGAATACATCAACAAATTTACAATTGCATAACAAAGTGTGATGAAAAAATTAGAAAAGAGATGTTTGAGAACATAGTCATATCTGGAGGCAATACTTCCTTTAAAAACTTCAAACAACGACTTCAAAATGAAATACAGAAATTCACTCCGTTCGAGACAAAAGTAATTGAAACAAATGACAGTAGATTAGCTCCATGGCTCGGTGGTTCAATTATCGCATCTATCGAAAACAATGGACAATTTATATCACAAGAAGAGTACAATGAAATTGGTCCAAATATTTATTAATTAAAATGTGTTTTATCCACAAATAAAACACATTTGAATTTATTAGTTTAAATTACTATTATTTAACTATTCAAGTTATAATATCAAATAATAGTATATAAATAGTATTGTTTAATTAATTTGTTTTCTAGAGTTCCTTCATCTCTATTTTATATAGAACTTTTTTAGTCAAATCACCTCTCTCATGCCATTCAATTTACCTAAGAATATACAACCAAACGCTTTCAAAGAGAACAAATCAAATGAACAACGAGTACACATCCTTCTCACATAAAAAAGCTTTTAATCTTCTCCGTCGTCGACAACTTTCTTTTTCTCTTTGGTTTTTTCTGTTCAAAAATTGTCTCTGCGATCTTCGTCCAAACCTCTTTACTGCTCTCCTCTTTGTGAATTCAAAAACGTCCGTTATAAGCAAACGAGTTAAGTGTCGAATGAGGAATTCAAAAGTGTTTTGTATCTCACGACTACAACAATAATAACTTAAAACAACAAACTGGGGACTTTGAGGAGCACTGGAACATAAACCTGAATTCGGGCTTGACTCTGATCGCTTCAAGGTATTCCTCAGTTACTATCTTCTTTTCTTCACTGATCTTTTCTTGAGCCAAATCTTGCTTGGTCATGACAAAGATGACAAGTGGGTCTGTAAGACTCGCTTTGATTTCCTTCAGCCACTTTCTTTCAGCGTGGATGAGGGACTCCTTACTGTCATACGAAAATAAGACGACAAAGCAGTCGACGTCTCTGTAACTCAACGTGCGGAGTTCGGCGTACGTGTCACTACAATCGACTTCGTATGCGTTGAGCGAAAACTTCTGCGTGCGAACCTCGAAGTTAAAAACACATGTTGTGTCTGCAGACCCAAAATTCGACTCAAAAATACCGTATTTGGAGGACAATATAAAGGATGACTTACCTACACCATCATCGCCTATTACACCAACCCGAAACTGCTTGTCTGGCTCCCGCTGTAATGACATATAGACTCTTTTTTGAAGTTCTCTTCTATTTAAAGAGATGTCCTATATTGGACTTGTCTTGTCTTTTTACTATCTTGGTATGGTAGTTTACTATTATATTATAGTTCTAATTCTAAAAAAGTGAATGCTTCAAATGTCAAATGTATAGTTAAAGTACTAGTATATATTAATTACAGATTAAACACTTCAAGAAAATGAAATTTACAAATCGTTCGCTATGAAAAATAAAAAGATGACAAAATAGAAGAAATTATAAAAATAAGTGAACAAATTTGTAAATTTGATTCAATAGATAAATTGTTAGTATTTTTTAATAGTTTTGTTATACTATTAAAAAATTAAAAAATTAAAAAATAAATGATTTCTCCACTGGAACCTTTCGATTGCCACAGTCATGTCATTCAATCTTCTTCCATAACCAATGTACTATACAACTTATCAGAAGACATTGATCTTGAACTGTTGTGGAACTGTCCTGTGACGTATGGAATTCACCCATGGCACTCACAAAGTGAAGACCTTGAAAAACATTTTTTGTTGTTAGAAAAAATGTTATTTGAGAAGAAAGTGAAGATGGTGGGAGAGTGTGGCATTGACTCGATCAAAACGAAAATTGACATCAACCTTCAAACTCAAGTTTTTGAACGACAAATTTGCCTTGCAGAAAAATATCAAATACCTCTACTGGTACACTGTGTCGGGGAAATGAATGCACTCATTTCTCTTCGAAAGAAACATAACACCAATTTCTGGATATATCACGGATTCCACGGCTCCGAAGTCGAAGCCAAAAAGTTACTTGAAATGAACATCTACACATCTTTTGGCTCAGCCCTTCTTAATAAAAAGAATATGAAAATAACAAAGAGTCTTGCGTTCTCTTTTGCTCATGAAAATTTGTTACTTGAAACTGATAATGATGAAACACACTCTTGTGAAATTTCTGAAATTTATACCGAAGCTGCAAGGAGGCTTGGGGTCGATGTTATAAAAGTAATAGAAATCGTTTTGAAAAGTCTAAAACGACTGAACGTTTTGTAATTACAGTTATTATCGGTTTAATAGTCATTTTTTTTAATTAAGATTAGTACATCAACTAAAGCTATAACAGTTATATCATTTTTCAAAAAAACTGTTGAAATAAAAACTTAACAGAAGTAGAAAGGTATAACTGTTATACTTTGATACAAAAATTAATAAAATAAAAGGTACAATTGTTATACCTTTAAAAAAATAATATAAAATAATAAGGTATAACTGTTATACCCTGATACAAAAAAAGCAATAAAAAAAGGCATATGAATCATCCAACGAAGGTTTCTGAATACTCCGAGTCTTCAATAGTAACGCCATCTGCATTCTTCTTGTACGTTTTTTCTTTAGAATTATTGAAAAGAATTTCGAGATTTTCTGAAGGTACGTCGAACTTATGTTTATAGACTATATTGCAGTTATTCTCCGCCTCCTCATATCTACATTTCAAGAACTTACAGAGTTCTCCCCATGCCTTTTCTCTGTGTTCTGGCATGATGATATGGTGTTTAATACTTCTACAGATATAGTCGATAGCCTTAATCAAGCTTGGCTCTCCGATGAGTTTACAAATCTTTGCAGCGTTTTGTTTTGAGTAGTTTGATTGATAAGCAATTTCCTCTGGTCTTTTCATAGACGGGATGAGTCTAGCGACGTGGTCGAAGAACTCGAAGAACTTTCCGAAGTGGATATTGACGTGGTATTCGCACAAGTTCTTCAACGCGATCATATATTCTTGTTTAGCCTCTTTAATAAAAGGAGTTAATGACGTGATCACATCGTCCGCCAAGAATTCAGCGAAGTAATAGAAATTTTGGAATCTAAGAGTCATAGTAGGTTTCTGGTCGATTTGTGAGTCTTTAATACTTTTGAGCCAGTCAAATGATTTTCTTAATAGTTTAGTAATAGTAGGTTCTACTAAGACATTCATATCTTTCCAGACCAATTCCGACCCAGCAGCTTCTTTCAAATACGCAAAGAAGAAAGGAAATCGTTTGAAGTGGAGAGTCACTCCATGTTTTTTAGGGTTAATAATAGTGTTCACTATAATTTCTATTTGCTGGTCGATGAACGTGTTAAATTTCGTTAACGCGTTTCTCTTCAAGACGTCGAAGAAGTGGATGAGCCACTCGATGTCCATTTTCCGATCACTTCTAGTGACCAATTCGATGTTCTTTTGTCGTGAGATTTTCATCAACGAATTTGCTTGTAATAAACTTGTCGAGTCTTTTTGAAGTCGACTGCCTTGGACCTTCTGTTGTTCTCCTTCACTACTTTCATCATAATTGATTTCATTGTCATACGTCCCTCTTAAATCAAACAACGAGTCATTTCTCTTCAGAACTTCTTTATCATCTTTCACTTCATACCTTTGCACTGTTTCTTTCTCATTCCCATCTTCACCAGTAGTATACCTCATACTCTCCTCTTCCGTGTCTTCTCCACTTTCTTCCACAGGGCGTTCGACTTTTGAAAGGATGTTTGTGTAATCCGATTGATTCAGTTGGACACTACACTCCGCATTCAAACAGTAATACACCGTTTTTAATAACAGCATCGGGTCGTTCTCTTCTATCTCATTAATTAACTTATCCATCACGTCATACGCCTCTTTATAAACATCGTCGATCATCACATTGATCCCTTTCCTCCCGTCAACTTCCATCTGGAACACTTCAAATAAGAACTTAAATTCCGCAGTGACTTCCTTTGAGATGTTTTTAATGACTTCTTGGACTATTAAAAACATCGGAAGGTTGTTCGGCTTCTTCGGATCGTTGTCATAAAACAAGTCCGTCGGGATCCCTTGCACCCCTTCGATCTTTTTCCCATCAAACGTAGTATAATCGAACATGTCCTCATGCTTCGAGGACATCGGGAGGATCTGTTTCTTCTGTTCGTCGACTAAGATCGAGAAATGTTCGTTGGCTATTTTACTCATCTTGTCGACGTATTGATTTCTCACTGCAACAAAGTCGTCGTTCGAGTACTTCCGAAGCCACGCGATGAGTCCACCGAAGGGTTCCAAAGACTTATGTGCGTTCTCTAAAGTCTCCTTTTGCGTCTTTTCCTTTCCAAATAAAGCGCTACCGAAGTCGATGACTTTATTGATCTTCAAGAAGTCCATTTCGACCTTCAATTTGTCTTGGAGAATGCAACTTAACTCATTTGCAAAATTCTTGAGGACTTGGACGTCATAACTTTGTTCCTCTTTCAGCGCGATCATGTCGCGCATCTCATCGGGTGGACTATAATTCGCCGCATACGCAACTTCTGTCGCGGACTTACAGATGTTGTCCAAGTTCGTTGCGTTCTTCAAGTCGCTTTCGCAGTTCTGGACGGTATATAACGAGACGGGATCGATCAATAAAGAGTCAATGAACTTCTCCATACACTCCATGAACTGCATTTGATTGGAATGGACCAACTCTAACTTATTGTTGTTGTGTTGAATTAACTCAACACCGGGGCGGATGGTCTCGACATCCGTTTCAAGTTGCGCGCAGAGCTTTTCTAAGTCGTCTAAAGCCGTTTCAGCCTCTTCGAATAAAACTGTGACGTTTTGTCCAATTTGTTGACGGTTCAAGTAATTTTTGTATAAAGAAGCTTCGTCGACTATGATCTGCTTTTCTAACTTCTTTTGTAATTGATCGATGTCAATCTTCGAACCTTCGTCTTTTAACATCTTTTTTAATATAATCTCATCCTCTTTGGAAACTAAATGAAGCCGCCCGTCCGTGTTTTGCCGCTTTTTTTCTAATTCAATGTAATCAGTTAACTCCTTTTTAGTTTTGTCACAAGATATCGGTTTGTCGGTTGTTTGCGTGTCACTTTGTTGGAGTAACAAAATGGTGAACTCCGCACGATTTAATGATGACGCAAACAGAAATTTCTTCGGTTGACTTTTCTGCTTGTGTGTGATGATGAGCCCATTGCTCCCCTCATCAAACTTCAAACTCAATATTTCGGCTATCTTCCACGTCTCTTCGACATCAAGACGTTTATAAATCACATTTTTACTCACAAAATTCAATAATGGAAAAGTCCGCTCGATAGTTATGACTAAGACATCCCCATAGGAAACTTCTTTAATATCTTTCCTTATTAAAGAACCATAAGCTTTCGTCACTACTTTCTTGTCTTTAAATAAATAATCAACATCAGAGCGCTGCTCTGCGCTCCCTATCAAAGCATCTCCTATCGTCCCAAATGGGTTCGTCACAGCCTTCTTCCCAACATCACTCACTCCTCCTATCACTTTTTTACCAAACCCTCCAACAGCCTTCGCAGCTACATCGATCTTCGTGACCTTCAAAAAATTCTTCATAGCAACTGGTCGAACTTTTCAAGTTCGTTGAATCGTTGAGAGTAATATAAATATTATATTAATTCTATTAATTATTCTATTAATTATAATAAAATAATATAAAACTATTACTTTACTAGTGTTTTTTGTCTTATTGGAATAATACAAATACTAAAATATAAGTATTTATTTACTATTAACTTCTAGTTTTAATTGTATTCGTTACTAACACTTTTATGGTTTAATTTATAGTTAATTTAACTATAAATGATTAGTTTTGAGTGACAACTTATATTCTAAATAGTGTTTAATTACTGCTTATTTTCTATTCAGTGTGAACAAATGATGGATTATGATTTCATTTTTTTGTTATAATAAACTATAGAGTATAATAATAATTAATAATAATTAACTATTAAACAAAAGAACTGAAAAACAGAGAAAATGGGACGCAAGAGATACTACTGTGAATTTTGTAATATTCATTTGACATATGGTGGCCCGAGGAGTCGCCACGAGCACGTGAGAGGCAAGAAGCACAAAGAGAAAATGATTGAGTATTACCGACAGTTTGAGGCAAACGTCCTTCAACAAATGATTGATGCGGTAGTTCTTGATTATCAGAGAAATGGTCCAAACACAATGACACAGATCCCAAGATACACGCCATACCTCTCATCGTTCGAGAAGCAACAGAAAGATAGATTCCAAATGATGGCCGAGTCCATCTACTAATTGTGTATCTTCTGTGATAATAATTCTTCGACTTTTGTGGTGTTTCTCTTTGTTTTGTATTATAATAAATAAATGGGTAATAATTAAAGAATCATTTCATCATGAAGAAGATTAAGGCGATCTGAAGTAAACCAATGAGGATTGCGTACATCCGCTTCTTGCTCATTTCACCTTCAATTGCTGTGAGTCCGCCCATGAGTGTTTTGTATATAAAGAACGCAAATGACGACCCGAAGACGACGAGAGCAACGTATTGAATGTACGGCACTGGTGCAGTGCCAACGAGAGAGCATATGATCACTCTATGAGTCAATACAAAATACATCACCGACAAACTATGACAAATAGATATAAGACACAAACGGCACAAAAACGTATGAAAGGTATGACAAATACACTCTGAAGTCAGCCCCAACGTCGAAAAGCATGTACTCCAAAAACTTCACAATCATCACCTCTAAAGTGACGACCATCAAACACAAAGTCGTAGCGACGGAAAGTGTTTCCGGTGTGAAAGTTCCCTTCGACCCGTAATAAAACCCGACAAACAAGACATATGTGATAAACGACATGAGTGGGACGTAAAGGTCAGGCGCGTACTTGTCTTCTTTTGGTGGACTGTACAACTTTGATTGGTCCTCTGCCGTGGTCGCTGTTCGTGTCCAATCTCCGCGGAAAGCGTAAGGGACAACTGTCATTAACAGTCGTTTGAAGACAGACGTGGTTGACACGTTGAAATAATATCGCCACGAGTCAAATGAGAAGATTCCTCCTAATTGAGATTTTAACAACTCATCGCCTTGATTTAAGTATGTGTTGGCGACGGAAATACCTGCTGAGGCAAGTGGGTTTGACGTCACGTTGTCAAAGAAGGCATCAGCGCTTGAAGGAGGAGGCTGTGGCGAAGTCATTTTTCTAATAATTTTTAGTCCTAATCTCTTCTTTCTTTCCAACAAGATTGATTGAATCAAAATAAATTATATTTTTAATTTAATTTATAATTAATTTATAGTTTCTCTCTTTTTTAAGAAAAAAAAAGTGAATTAGTTATAATATAATTTTTATATTATAATAAGTTAAATAAGTTGAATTTATAGTTTGAATAATTCAATTTTTTATTTATTGGTAAATAAACAATATTATATAATACAATTATTTTAGTACCATTTTATAATTAAAAAAATAATAAATGAATGGTACAAAAATGCTATTTAATAAATTCGTACAATTTCAATACAATACTAGTTTTCTAAATAAAACAACAAATAAAAAATAACATTTCAACAATAAATTATAATATTAATTTATTAATATTATAAAAAAAATAAAAAAATAAAAATATAATAAAAAAACTAAAATAATCTACTTTCGAAGAGAACCGATTTGATCCCTTCCTTTTATCTGTTGTATGAGAGAAAGAAGATCAAACAGTTGATCAACCTCCATTCTTTTCTTTAGTTGATACAAATTGTATTGTTCAAGTTTTTCTTGATAAGTTCTGTCTTCTCTATCAATCATTTCTTCTATATCTTCTATGCCACATTTTCTTTTTTGGACTTCAATATAATACCTATATATTATTTTTGATATTCTTTCCATTTGACATGGGTACTTAAACTCAGGTACTGGATACTCCATTCAATTGTTTAATGCGAGTTGTTTTGATTTAAATGGTATCTATTCTATTAATAGAATAGATTTATTTAAAACAATTATAAAATTAATTATTATTATTATTATTATTATTAATTATTATTCTAATTATTTTTCATTAATACCATTTGAAACTATTGCTATTGGTTTTTTATTATTATTTTGAATAATAATAATATTATTATTATTAGAATTAACTTATTTTTGAATAGTTTAAAATATTAAATAAAATGATAAAAATTCTAGTAAATTCATGAAAAGATAACAACTAAAATATAGTAAAAATATAACAAAATACTAACCAAAAAGAACTAAAGGAATACCTTGAACCACTCAAATAAGAATTGTTGGAAAGAGTTTTTTCACAATACAATAAGTTATTTAAAAAAGAACTACAATCTTATTATAAAACAATTAAAAAGAATAGTAATAAAAAAAGAGGAAGGTCGACCAACGAAATTTCAATAAATAACAAAAAGCGCCTCGAAACTCGAATAACATTTTTGGATATGAACACGCCGAAACTGCTAACGACGGTCTTGTCCCCTCCATTTACCGTATTAGATGGGATTCTTGATTTTGCGCTCAAGAATAAAGACACGAAGATGGCGGACTATGTCTACAAGACATTAACGATAACGAATCGGTTAGAAGTTTATATCCAAAAGTGCGTCAGTGACGAGATCCAAGGGACGTGTTTGATTCTTTATAGTAATAATAATAAGATAATTATTATTATTATTACTTTAAAATAGATTAAAAGAAGACGTGGGGAGTGGACTAACAAGAAGTGAGTGAACAAACGGCTTTTCGACTAAATTCAAAGACAACGCGCTTGATGAACATCATTTATTTGAATCAAGGAATCGGCTTTTTATATCATTGCTTAACTCCTTTGTTCAATGAAATACTCGAGAAGAAGATTAAATTAAAGCCAGTTTGTTTTACTATAATTTATAATTAATTATTAATAATAAATAGTATAACTCGTTGTACGAGTATTACTAGTATTATTATATATTTACTAATAGCTTCGCCTGTGTAAAAATGGCGACCCGGACTTGGTAACGTGCGCTCGACTAGTCAACTTGACCTTTCAAAAAACATTTTCAAATATCGAGAACTGCCCCATCATCGTCAGAAGAGTCTTACGAAAAGTCTACGACGAACTCTCACTCAAATTTCCGCAGAGTAAAACGTCGTGGGTGTGTTTGGGCGCTTTCATATTCCTCAGATATATCTGCCCCGCTATTATACAACCACTCGAGTGGGGGCTTGCCTATGAACCACCCACGGATATGGCAGATACCTATATGCAGATTTCCGTCGTCATGCAGAAAGTCGCTAATGTCAAACATTCAGATGTCGACGACCCGGTCGGGAGACTTACTGACATGTTAGTCGAGTCTAAGAAGATGGAGTACTTCAATTTCGTGACTGAATTAGCCGTTTGTTACTTTCTGAGTATGTCTGTTATGCTATTGGAATACTAATAAATACTATATTATATACTATATTATATATAATATTTATTATAACAAATTATACTATATATATTATAATTATAACTATACTATAAATTAATTAAATGATACCATATTGACTAGAGTATTAATTATAATACGTTATACTAATAATTATTGGTAATTATAAATATACTATTAATGAATAGTATAAATAATACAATATTGCGTATGGTATTTATTATAATAAATTATACTATATATTTTATTAAAAGAACTATACTATAAATTAATTATTTAAATAATACGATATTGCGTCTAGTATTAATTATAATAAATTGTATCATACGAATAATACTACCGAATATAGTACTAATGAATTAATTATTAAATTATTAATATCAAACCCGTGCAAGAATGGACTAACGATGAAGAGCGTTCCTTACGAAACGAAGGTCGAAGAGTATACCACAACGACACAACAGTTTAATTTCTATTTGGGCCATTTGCAACATTACTACCGAGAACACAGTAAAGAGATAATGGTCCACATGAGTCAACACGACCAAGTCCAATTTGTCATGTTTGAACAAATGAATTTTAATGGTGGGGATGTCGAAGTGACGTTTCCTCGGATTGTGTTGACGGAACGAGAGAAGTATTTCCAGTCGATCAAAAGTGAACGAGTCTTAGAAGAACTCATTCAACGAATAACACAGGGGAAGTCGATCACTGCTTGGGATTTAAAGTACTTGCAACACTGTTGTGAACTCGAAAGAGCTGTTTCAGGGGAATGCACTAAGGATTTGGTTAACGCACGGTTTAATAGTTATTTCCCGGGCATTGTAACATCGTCTAATATGCTCATTTACCACGACGACTATTCTCAATAATTCTTTTTAGACTCCTTTCAGTTATAGAATGGTATCTTCTTGAATTTAATATCACACATATACCTTGTTCGTTGTTGTACACAAACTACAAGACTCAGTACTGAGTAGAGAGAACCTTCTTTCGTCGTTTTAATAATTTTATTACGTTAATATAAAATTTAATTAACATTATAAAATAATTAACAAGTAAATTAAGCAAGCAGTGCAAAATAAAACGATAATCGTTAAATATACAGAAAAATACTATGGAGTAATAAATAAAAAAAAACTCGTTAATTAGATAGAATAGGGTTTTGGTGTTTCTATGCTACTCCATGATAAAAAAGAAACTGAAAAGAATATACTGATGAGTGACAACACCAAAAACGCGGACCTTATTGAGAACGTGATAAATCTCAAAGCAAAGGTAGATGACCTTGCTCTCAAAGTCGGAAACCTTAAAAAGAAGTTTGTGGCTTTAGAAATAATTTGTAAGAGAAATCAATAGACTCAAAAGTAGACTGATCGATTCTCCTCTTCACATCTCTGACGGACTTTCGTTTTTGGACGTCAAGTACTGTTTGTTTTATACTTCGCTTCTTCAAAGGTCATTTAACTATACATTATTATTATAATAACTATAAAATAAACTATATAGAATTTACTTTTATTAATAATTAAAAATATTATCAAATGAATCAAAGAAATACTTTAATTTATATTTAATTAATATATTATTATTATTATCAAATACTTTAATTTTACCATTCCAACAACTAGTTTACTATAGTAATTATAAACTATACTTTATTATTAAAGAATACTATTAGTTGGTGATAGTATTAGATAACTATCACCAACTAATAAGTACTAGTTTATTTTGAGACTTATAATATATAGTAATATAATAGCTTTATTACTTGAGTATAGTATGACATACATGGTATATTGCGTTAACAAAGCGATGGGCCAAGACATGTCTTCGAGTCCGATTATCGACCGTCTTATTTATCTTCGTGTCTTGATAGAACGTACGAAGCCGATAGAGAAGAAGCTTCGGTATCAAATTGATAAGCTTCTTTCACACACGAAGGCGGATGAGAAACTTGAAGCGAAGCCGAATATCGATGAATTGGAAGTAGAGAAGAACATCGACGGGACATTTAAGCCGACGACGATTTCTGGGAAGGCAATGGAGACGGAAGGGGAGACCACAGAAGGTCGGAAAGAGAAGACTACTGAAGACTATATGAATGAAGATGGGAATGAAATGTCGGAAGAACTCTTTGAAACGCCTGACGAAGTTGGAGTAGATGGTCTTGGTGCGTTTGCGGACAAAACTGCGATGAGGAAACATAAAGAAATCGAAGACATCGAAGAGGAAGGCTTTAAACGGACGGCGCAGAGTAAAATGGATATGAAGAAGAAGAAAAATAAACTCAGAAACGAATTTAATGAACTCGAGGACTTCGTCGGCTCTTTGAAAAACAACTTGATGAAGGAATATAAGGAATTGCAAAAGATCGGTATACCCGATTTTAGAAAGAAAGAAGATCTCGACGAAACACTCGATTACATTAAAAGAAAACAAGAAGAAGAAGACAGTGAGGATCAGCCACTTGGTAATCCAGAAGATGACGATGAAGAAATTGATAGTGATGATATCTAACTTTTTAAATTGATTGGGGGGAGTACACTTTATTAGTTTATTTCGAGCTTTTGTTTCAAAGTATTTTTACGTCACACCGTGACGGGATTCTTTTTATTAAATCATTTTGTATAATTATAATTATATTTTATTATATTTTATTATATTTTATTATATTAGAAAAAAAAACTTGAAATTTTCATTGTTTTAAATATACCAAAAAAATATAGTAAATTTAAATGGTTTATTATTAGCATTTGTTTTGAAGTTCTTTTTACCGTCATTTTATGACGGGCACACTTTTTTTTTGTATAGTTTTGATATGATTTTCAAAGATTTAAAATAGTTTTCAAAAGAACTTGAAGGCAAATGAGTTATCGAGACTTAGGCAACAAAGCGTTTGCTAGTCAGAATTATGTAGAAGCTGTGAAACATTATACCTCCGCAATTGAAGTAGATCCGATGAATCCCACGAACTTTTCTAATCGTTCGTTGTGTTATTTAAAATTAGAGAACAATGCCTCAGCCCTTGCAGATAGTCAAATAGTCATAGACTTAGACCCAACAAACCCTAAAGGATGGTATCGACACGCATTATCTTCTATAGCATTACACGACATAGAAACTGCGTTAATTGATTTAAAGAAGGCGATGACTCTTTCAAGTGACCCCCAAATATGTTCCTTATACAATTCGATAACAACTCCTCTTCCTTCCTCTTCAAAAAAGACTACAAAAAGTCCACACAAATTGAACCCTCAAAAAGACTTCATTTTAACCACCAAAATCACTTACGACGTGTTTTATCAAAACTGCCTCATCACCCAAATCTTCCCAAAATCACTTCTTTTGGCTATCTTATCTCAAGCTCACACTCTTTTACTCAACCGTCCACCTATCACTCAAATCTCTTCTCACACTCTTCGCATCATCGGAGACACTCACGGCCAATTCGCAGTCATTTCTAAATGCGCCGACGACCTCAAATCCAATCCAAATCTCACTCTTCTCTTCAACGGCGACATCGTCGACCGCGGCAGTCGTGGCGTCGAGTGTCTCTTTGGGGTTCTTTCTTTATTCCTCGAGCACCCAACAAGGGTTTACATTAATCGCGGAAACCACGAGGAAAAGGACATGAACATGGCCTTTGGCTTTTACGTCGAGTGCCTGAAAAAGCTTGACGAGGAGGTCTATGAGAAGATTGAAGAGCTCTATAGAGATTTTCCTTTAGCGCATGTCTTACGGGACTCAGTGTTTATAGTCCATGGGGGGTTACCTGAGACGTCTTTTAGTATAAAGACGACGAGTTTGAAGAAGATGGAGAGGTACGACTCGGACGACATTGAAAATCAGTTTCTATGGGCAGACCCACAAATCAAAAATGGGACGTCTAGATCACCACGAGGAACTGGGTACACCTTTGGCCCTGACATCCTCACTCGTTTCTTGATCGATAACAACTTGAAGTACTTGGTAAGAAGCCATGAAGTAAAACCATTTGGTTTCGAGTGGGACACAACAGGGAAGATGCTCACTATATTCTCCGCTCCTAAATACAACGGACTTACTAATTTCGGAGCTTATGCTGATGTCTGGTTCGATGCAGAAGAATCTCAGGAAGTACCTCATTTCACTGTGACTCAATTCAGAGACTACGACGAGTTGGATCGCGGAGACGTGACATCAGTATTCTGACTTCGGCGGATTGGACTTTCAATTGATGGATTGTGTCGTTTCTTCACTAGTAATTTGAATCGTAATATTATAGTAAATTTATTTAATAGTATTATTATAATTAAGTTATTATATATCATACTATTAGTATGCAATAGTAATAATATAGTTTATTGCTAATAAATAGTTATATAGTATTATAATTAAGTTATAAAAAATAGTACTATTGTTTATTATAGTATCATTATAATATATTTTTAATAAACATTGATAATACTATTTTATTAAATTATCATAGAATAAATAATGACTATAAATTATAATATTATTCTAATAAATTTATAATACTTTTATACTAATTAGTAATTTACATACTTACTAGTATTATTCTAATAAATTTATAATACACGAAAAGAACCGACTCACACACAATGATAGCTAAATTATTCATCACTGGGAATAGTCCTTAATAATATCATTCAACTTAGCTACGATAGTGTCGAATTTTGGTCTTTGTTCTGGTTCCGTTGACCAACACTTTTGGATCAAATCGGCTATTCCATTAGGGAAGACATGAGTTTCCAAGTCTGGACGACCACCGGAACAGACTTTTTGTTGGATCTGAGCATTCGACAAGTCTTTGTAAGGGATTTCATTAGTGAACATGTGGTACATAGTCATTCCGAATGAGAATACATCGATAGGGAGTCCATGTTCCTTCATTTCCATCACTTCTGGAGCCATGTATTGATAGGTTCCTGGGCTCTTTTTGATCAACTCTCCTTTCTTCAACTTGAATATAGTAGTCAAGTCGTGTAACTTCACTGTACATTTTCCTTCGTTAGTAATGTCGTGGTGGACGACACGGAGTTTACTTGGCTTTACATTTCTGTGGAGGATGTTATGGGAGCTGAGATACAAGAGAGCGTTAGCGCAGTCGTTGCAGCACTTTAATAAGAAAGGGACAGCTATCTTTTCCTTTTCCATTAACGTTTGTAAGTCGCTGACAGTATCACCGTCCAATAAAATAGTTGAAGATGACAAGATGATACCTACCATTCCGAGAATAGCTGGGTGGTGGATATCTCGATAGACTCGTTGAATGAATTCGTAGTCTTCTTTCTCATATTTGTCTTGAATGTTATATTTAAACGCAACAACACTCTCATTCTTAACTGTCGATAAAACTCCATTGATCATCCCAACACGAAATTGTTCTTCATCAGAGGATTTGACTAAATCCTTTTCATTATAAGCCGGAACTACTCCTTCTAATTGGAACCGAAGTGCTCGTGTGATACTCTCCCCACTCATTATAGCTTTCTTTTTAATGGAAAATTGAACTTGGCCCGTTAAACCCATTGTAGCATGATGATGGAATAATAACTGAATCACTACAGAACATGGCTCCCCTTTCTTGATCACAAACTTACTCTCATTCACCGTCAACTCGTACTTCGGAGACTCTACAGGTGTCACGGTCAATTTGTAGGTCGAATCAGTCTTGTTCACAAAATTTATCGTCTCCTTCAAGGTGATCCCTTGGATCGCATAGTTGCTCCCAAAGGTCAGCTTGTCGATTTTCTAGTTGGTGAGAACAAAGATACAAATGGTTTTATACTAAAAGATGTGTAAATTCAAATTCGGGAAAAAATGTGGGACTTTAAAAAAAATGGTAGAGACAAACCGGTTCCATCGTAAGTGGAAAGTCCTGGTCAAATGTTGTTGATATCGAGTTAGAAAGTGGTTGGCCGCGGGAACTCATTAAATGGTCTTCTTTTTTAGTTTTTTTTTCAAAAAAGCTCTAACTCAAAATTCTTTTTATTTGCAGACTTTCTCGTTCCGCTAATCGCAATCTGCTTTTTTTTCAGATTAAACCCAAAAATGAGTTTTTGTTGGTAATTCATATGACTGATATGTATATTTAATCAATTTTAATTTAATTATAATTAATTATTAATTGTTCTAATTTTTTTTTTATTGGGAGATTTTTGAAAATAATAAACCATTTCGATGAAAAAGAAACATGTGTTATTCCCGTGTTTTTAAACAATCAAAGCTATATTATTTTGGTTAAATTAAACCCTACTAGTTTTTTCTTTTTTTAACCGTATTTTTGGGACAATTATATTTTTTAGAAAAATTATCGTAATTGTTTTTATTATGTTTTTAGATTAAATTTTAATTAATTCATTATATATAAAATTATGAAAACAAAACTGAAGTCATTTTTGAATTTCAGTTTAAAAAATTTGAAAAAAAAAATCTGAACCCCAAATTGTTTTATAATTTAAATTTAGTTTAACAAACTATTACACATTGTAAAATGATTTTGAATCTTAACAATGTGAAAATGGGTGTAAATAATTTGTAGTAATATTTAATATTATTTTGAACTAATATAGTTTTATAATTAATACTATATTTTATTATAAAGATAAAAAAATAGTTAATAATTAGTAAAATGAACTATAAATAAACTAGACAAAAATGTATCAACAAGAAGGCAGCATAGTGACTGGTTCATTAATTGACAATGGGCTCGACGACAACTCTCCTTTGATGGGAGGTCCTACAAATTCTCCAGAGGCCGAGAGGGTTAAAATTTATTTTGCCATTGGCGTCGTTTTCAATTGTTTGTGGCTTTATGTCATCATTAAGTACCACAAAACTCAAGACGAAGACATCAAGCGGTGGGTCATGATCTCCGAATTTTTCTTGCTTATATACATGGTTTTTTACATCCTCATCATCATCTCGCTTGTCATTTTGCTAATAGTACTTGTCTAATTTTATTTTCTATTTGTTGTTGTAATTTTTCAATAAAATGGTTTTAAATATTATTAGACATCATTAATAAGTTATAAATTATAACTACATTTCATTCTATTATATTTTCATGAGACTTTTTATTAAAGTCATTCCGAATAAGTGTGCAACTTTATTTTTTCGTTGTTTTTTACTCACAACAAAGGTGAAACTCTATTTTTCAACAATAACAAAAACAAAAAGTAGAATTGGGTTATCAATTAACATAAAATATAACTCGATATTTAAATGATAAGTTCAACTGCTTGTTTTAATTAAAAAGCATAAAAATTCCAGAATTCCAATTGCCATACAAAACAAATAAAACGGCGTTGTACACCGATTGTGGATGGCGCAGATGTTAAACATCTCTTTATAATAAGAAAATAATGAGACAAGCCAATTCATGTGATTCAAAGACTTTTTCGCTGCAAAAATAGGTAAACAAAAGGCAGTTGAATGGTGCAACCCAAAAAACTAATTGAGAAAAATTGTGCAACTTTAGTTATAGTTTAGTTATAGTATATTAATTAGAGTAATAGTTTTAAAGAAATTTGTTTGTGTTTTCTTGTTTTGTTTTTAAAAACATATAATTTTTTTACTATAATTATACTATAAACAAAGTTGCACGGTTTTAAGAATGACTTTATTCAAAATTTGATCTGATAAAAATACTATTAAATTTTTAATATTTGTTTGCAATAAACACTAAAATACCCATATGGTCCATTTTGAGAGAAACAAAAAACAAAAGAAATTAATAATTAACTATTTGTTTTTTTGGTAGTAATAAAAAACAATTGTCATATCACTAATTAGTTTAAAATAATAAAATATGTTATAATTATACTATATATCTTCTTCACAATTAACTTATATGTATAGTAATTTGAACTAAAATATAGTAAACGTGAACGAGGGTTACTGATAGAGATGTGAACTTTATTTGCAGAGCGTTCATGGTTTGTCTTTTTCTCTTCCTTTTAATAAATCACGCCAAAACAAACTCGAATGAATGAGAATTCGAGATTGCGATGTCGGAATGGCAATACATTTAAGGCCAGAAAAATAACGAAAAAAAGGGTAAAACAAAAACTAATGTTTAGGCCACTCGTTTCAGACAGACAAGACGTAGAAGAGGACACGTATGTATGGGTTACGGTCGTATTGGAAAGCACAGGAAGGAGAGAGGAGGAAGAGGTAATGCTGGTGGATTGAACCACAGAAGAACATGGTTCACCTCTTTCCACCCAGATTTCTTCGGAAAGAAGGGAATGAGAGTCTTCCACGCCAAGCCAAATTTGAAGTACTGCCCATCAATCAACGTCGAGGGGTTGTGGGCTCTTGTCGGTGCTAAAGTCCAGGAGCAGTACAAAAACGCCAAGTTGGGCGAGCAGGTCCCAGTTATTGACTGTGTTAAACACGGATACTTCAAGGTTCTCGGGAAAGGTTTCTTGCCAAAACAACCAGTCATCGTTAGAGCCAGATTCTTCTCCAAAACCGCTCAGAAAAAAATTCAGGATGTCGGAGGAGCCTGTGAACTTACTGCTTAATGGATGCTCTTGTCTCTGTTCGTGTTTTGCTCACATTTTTTTTATCAAAATAAATTTTTTCGCTTTTCTATTCAAATGTAATAAAGATTATTTTTTATTCAATAAACATATTTTTTTATATTAAACTATCATAAACTCTTATTATATTTTATTAATATTATATTAGTTTTGAACTATACTATAGAAATAAACTCTATATTATTACTTACTAATAATATTAATTTTAATTAATAATAATAATAAAATATATTTAAGTTATAGTATAATAATATATAAAAGTAATAATAGAATATATCACCCAAATCTTTATCCAACCATAACACGAACCAATCAAAGAAAATTTACTAAAAAGAGTTACTGGTGTGTACACTCCTGAGGTGCTGGTTGATTTGAGTCGTCATTATTTGGCTTTCCATCAGTGGTTTCCTTCATTTGTTTATCGAAAGTTTCGTCGTCTTCCTCGTCCATATCGTCGTCGTCACCGATCAACAGTTCGTCGAAGTAATTTACGGCAGCTGGCACGACCTCCGTGACGAGGAGCATTAAATCTCTGAAGATGTCGTGGAGAGTTAAGACCTCGTCGTCGACGTCCCCGTCGTCGTTGATATCATTAGAGAGAGCCATTTGAGTAGTATAAAAGATATCGAAGAAGCTTTCCGTCTTAGCGTGGGAGGGAGTTTTTCCCTTTTTTGGGACTCTTTTTTTGATGACTTTATACCGGGGGTCTTTTCCTTTGACCCATTCTGGTGCTTTGAGAGTCTCAACAGTGGGTTCCTCTTCCTCCCCGTCGACATCTCCGAGTTTATAAGAGATTTTCAGACTACACGTAGGACTTAAAAGGTATGGATTTTCTTTAAATAAGAAATTGAGTTGGTACGTGTACTTCAGTGTAGGAGTCCCGTCCTTTAAAGTGTCATCCGTCGCGGAGAAATAGTCGACGGAGATGTCTTGGAGGTATGTTAAAATGATCGAGTCGTCGTCATTGCCTTGGAGGTCCTCGAAGATTTCTGAGTTCTTTAAGACGTGAAGCCAAAAACAAGGAACTCCACTTTTATACTGCGAACTCTCGTTGGGGGGACATTCAGTGTTAGGTGTGTACCCAACAACTTCTTCCGGCTTCAATGGGTTCCCACAAATGATCTCACGACGACGGTCGTAATATTGTTTCGCGGACTCGTGTAACTTGATCTGCGCTTCGTGTTTCTCTTTCTCCATTTTCAGTCGAAGAACTTGATAATCTTTGGCTATAGACTGACACATCGAGATGTTTTGATGAACTTCTACATTGACTAACTTCAAATAATCTTCATACGTTTCGGCACTTAAAAGCTCGAAGAAATCAGTCATAAAGGGTTTCTTTGGTTTCCTAGTTCATATCGTTTTGTCAAAATTCTTCGTTGGAATGTTCTTATTAACTACTGATATATTTTACTATATTTTACTATCTATTAAATAAGTGTGTATATTATTTATTTATAGTTAATTTATTACTCTTTACTAGTTTAAAATTCATCGAATGAGTTTTTGTCAAATTAAATCTTTATTATTATATTCTTATTCGTATAGAATTTGTTTCGCATAAAGTATATTTTATAATATAATATACTATTATTACTAACGCAACTGTAATTATCTTTAATAGTTAAAGTATAGTTTAATTGTATTATTTTACAAATACAACTTGAAAACACGCAGAAATTCAACAACTAATAAAAATAATTAAAAAGTACTATTTAGCCATAGTAGTGTTTGTAATTGTCAAACCAAATTTTGTGCCTAATAACTGGGGAACAGCCGGTCTCCTTAGTAAATATAGCGCCGGTCTGTGGGTCCCATATAGTAGACCATGCTTCACCGAAACAGACTCTTTGTGTACAATAATCTTTAGTCAGATTGAGGGAGTCCAATTGGAGTGTATTTAACACGTAATTGTGGACAGCCTGGTCGTGCCCCCATAGCCCATATTTTTCTCTCTTCATGTTATGAGTGACGATTTCAAAGTATTTTAAAACCTTTTCAGTCCCGCCAAAGACTATTCCCGCATTAGACAAGAGTGTTTTGTTATTTGCATAGGCATCCCCGACCGCTTCCCCAAATGTGTCCGTGATCCATCTGCGGTTAGTTTTGTCGTCCAATTTCCAGCACGAGTCCGTGTTGTTGAAAGCCCAGCACTCCATCAGAACGACAAAATCATCATTGGAAAAGGTCTTAAAAGCGTCTGCGAAGATGAAGACGTCTTTAAAGTCCGAGAAGATGATTCGGTCGTATTCCTTGCGGTGTTCCGTGATCCAATTTCTCGCTGCAAAGAAACGCATGACAGCGCCGTTCGTCTTCTCCAGACCATAATCGACGACATCGACACTGACATTAAACAGTTTCATTGTGTTCATGAAGTCGTCGTTGGGCGGGGTTAACAGTAAGACGTGTTTCGAGGCATTTGGAATTCCACTTTTCGCTATTGAAAACGCCCGTTCGGCTTGCGATTTGATTGAAAGCCACTTCTGGGTGGTGTCGAAGGAAAATGCAGTTAACCACAAATCGCGGCTCGTCGACTGTTTGTATCGAAAGATTTGCCTGCACGCACCAGAGTAATGGAAGTTCGAAGTGTTCAAGAGATGGTCTGTGTATGTGGGATAAACAAATTCATCCTCTCTGTCTGAGGGTTTTTCACTAAGGTTATCTTGGTCATTTGGGGTCGTACTGTGGGAAAAAGTTTGAAGCTTGAGTAAGTCACTAAATAACTCGAGACTTGGACGGTGAGTGGAGGAAACAAGTGAAAGAATTAATGTGAAAAATATGAGTACAAATAAGATCAATAAGACAGTTCGCTTGTTCATTCACCTGGAAAAGAGAAATAGATCTTAAGTATATATATATGTATTGTGCATTCACTTTCTTTGTCATTATTTTGTTAAAACTAAATAATTTGACATCTTTAGTAAAATGCTAAATTATTAAAGTCGTCCACTACAAAATGAAATTTACACACAAAAAAGACTGCAGTTTTTTGTACAATTTAACGATTTTAAATTATTGAATTATTTTAATAATAAAAAAATTTACAGAATTTTAATAGTAAAAAGTTAATAAATTAATTGTTATTAGTTGCCTTCCTAGCTCAGTCGGTAGAGCGTGCGGCTTTTAACCGTAAGGTCGGGGGTTCGAGCCCCCCGGGGGGCGTTTTTCTTGTTTTTATGTGATTAATATTTTTAATCGAATAATTGAATAAATGTATTTTTTCTTTTTATAGTACGTATTAAAGGTTATTACAATCCAATCGAAGTTGACGCAAAAAAAACACTCAAGTTTTTATCTAAAATCACCACATTTAACTTATGAGTTTTTAAAGCAAACACTTTTTTATATTTAATACAAAAACTGATTACAAAAGACTTTAAAAGTAGTGATATGGAATAATGTAGTTTTTCAGTGATTTTTCAATATATAAAGCTTTTAAAATGTCACAAAAGTGATTGGATATTCATCAGAAAGCAAAAGAAATTTGAAAATAAATAATCACTTATCATATCACAACTTGGAGTTTTTTGTTTTTCAAAACACACAAATTTGAGTTCACTTGTAATTCCTTCAAAAGTGACACATATTGCAGATTGTTGTTTTAAATGATGAATATGTTTTAGTTCAGTAAGTATACCACAACTAATAACAAGAATAGGAAAATGTTCTTTATTGAAATCGATAATAATTCCAAATGGTATTATACACATTTTAATTAAATGTTTTAGAAATTGTGTTAAATTGAATTAAATCAACATGCCAAGTGGCATTATATATATTGGAAAGGAGTGTTTCAGATACTGCTTCAAGTTAAGCGCAATGACAATACGAAAATTAGTTTCTACATTTAATTGTGTATGTTTGTATTTTTTAATTTGATGTACAAGTTTTTAATATATTAATATACCACAAACTGGTTTTATTATTGTAGATGCCTGTATAACAAATGCTCCAAAACAGGACAATTGAGGTTACCAGAGATAATTAATGTACTTGGATATGCATATTTCTATAGATGTGTAAAATCTGAATAACATATCTCATAAAAATACAATTAAAATTGAGACTATTGCTTTGGTAATTACCCCAAGCCACATTCATTTTATATACCAAAAACAACCAACTACAACGAGTTTTGTTGTTATAAAGTGTTTATAACAATTTCCACCTAAATAATCAAAAATGACCAAACCAAGATGTGTCAGTGTGTTATGACAATAAATTTTAGTTAAATACAATATGAACAAAGATAGTACACGAGTAAACATTATCATTATTTCAAAAGTATGGAGTATTAAATAATGTTCATGTTAATAATTTTAATTAATTTCATCTCAAGTTTGTACTTGTTTGAAAACTCACTTGTAAGGTGTTGACAATTGACATACAATAACACGAATTTTATATAAAATTAAATAACGATGTTGAAATATTCATAAAAATTGAAGTTAACATAATACTGAACGAGTAGTAAATTAGAATACATCTTATTTCTTCACGTCTTTCTTTTCAGTGGCAACAGCCTTTGGTGCGGCTTCCTTTGGTGCAGCAGCAGCTCCCTTCTTTCCTCCCTTCTTTGGCATGTGTATTAAACGAGTGAACTGAAAGATGCATTCTTCCCTTTTATAGAGTCTACATTTCTGTGAGATATAACAGCCATGTTATGTCTTACACTACGGGTGTATTGCGGTAAAAAATGGCCAATCATTTTAATCAAAAATAGACATCACACATTATTTGAAATGCCATAACTCAAAACACCCCATTTCATTACGCATTTTAAGTCTATTGTGAAATAAAATGTTGAAAATAAAGCACAGAAATAGAAATTCGGCAGATCACACGATTCTTCACCTTTATTCACCGCCACACCACGTCACTGTTATTAATAGCACACCAAAAATAACACAATGATGTGGCACCTTAAATTCCCATTTATTATACATTATACGGGCTGTTATACTCCACAATAATG